ATATATATATATATATATATATATATATATATATATATATATATATATATATATACATATATATATATATTAGTTTTGCTCAATTCTAAAAAAAATAAATTAAATTAAAAAAATTAAAATTAAAAAAAGGAAAGAAAGGCAAAAAAAGGAAAGATTTGTACAACATTCTTTTCACTCTTTTCTTGTTTCAGGCTCTTCCATATGTTTGCCTCCTAATTGCTATGCTTTTCTTCATTTATGCCATTATTGGCATGCAAGTAAGTTTATTCATATCATTACATATGGCAGTTATCAAAATGATGTAAACTTTATAATTTGATGGCATTTGCTGAATACTTCCCCAAACATCAGAATGTACTTGTATTTTGGCAGCTCGGTCTCTATAAATTATGAAATGTGTTTATTCATCTATATTTGTGGGCTAGTGTGTGTTTAAGTGTTTTAAATATTAGAGATGGTCCTAACCAACTTTTTCAGTGTTTCTTCTTTCCCAAAATCTTATGAGGGCACACATTTACATCACATGTGCCAGAAATTTACATGAATCAAAAACCTGTTAGTCTGGCTTTTCAAGTAGTGATAAGAAATACTTTCTATAGTGTAGACGATATACTTGATTCTAAAAATCTGTCATCTCTTATTCTTTAGGTATTTGGAAATATTAAACTGAATGATGAAAGCCACATTAATCAACACAACAATTTCAAGACATTCTTTGGTGCCTTGATGCTGCTCTTTAGGTAAGATCACCAAACACTTAGAGAAAATAGATGTTATTACTGTTATTTACTTTCATTATTTTTAGTAGAATTAGACCAGTATTCTTTCTTTTGTTTAAAGTTAATGAAATATATAGTTTAGTGAAACGTATAGTTTGGCAAATATTGTGAAGCCCAAATATACAATAAAAGTTGTAAGGTAAAACATTATTTTTAGTTCAACCCAAAATGAAAATTGTTTCTACAAGACTTCTTTTCTATGCATACTGTACATATACAGTGACACCAGCAGGTAAAGTTACAACGGGAGTCCGCGTCTCTCTTGCCTCCCCTGAGCCCATTGAGTTTTAACAGACCAATTAAAGCATGCAGTGGGTTTGCTGGGGGGTAATTGAGAATGAATGGGGGAAATCATGTGAGAGGAGGCAATGCCTCCATCGCGATATGATTGGATACTGGTTATGATCGGCTGTGATTGTTTCATGTGATAAATCCCTCCTTGTGTTCAGGCGCGTTCGCAAATCAGTCTAAATGAACAGTATAATGGCGTTAATGGGAAGACTTTTATTTTTTTTATTTTTAAAGTGAGTAAACAACTCACACACTTAGATATAACTACTTTGTCAAAATAAGACTTGAAATGACCTGAACACGTGATCTCTGTGAGTTTGTAGTGAGTAAATCAGCTTGGTGAAATGTAAAGTAAATCTCTGTCTGTACCCTATATTTAGCTTTGATGACTGATGATCTGAAAAATTCAAAAATAGTTTGAAGTGAACTATTAAAAAGAATAGCTGAACTGTTTTTGCAGAATAAAAAACGCAAGAAGATTCAAAAATTCTTCCTGTATTTTCCACTGAAAAATAACTATGACTTTAGAACAATGTGAGGGTCAGAAAATAAAGACTGAACTGTTCCTGTAATTGAGAGGTGTTTGAGTGCTCTTGGTGACTCATTCCTGGGTAGATATATTACTTTCCCCCAGTTTCACAGACAAGGCTTTAGCTAGTCCCAGACTAAAATGCATGTTTGAGCTGTCTCAACTGAAAATATCTTGCTCTGACATATCTTAAAATATGTCAGTGTCATTGTTCTGTGATGCACACCTGTAATGTTTTCTTCTATTGCATTTTTGTAAATGTTGTTTAAATATCTTAATTTAACTAAGGCCTAGTCCTGGCTTAAGCTAAGCCCCGTTTGTGAAACCGGGCCTTTATGTCTTGCAGAAGTGCCACAGGAGAGTCGTGGCAGGAGATCATGCTCTCGTGTCTCGAGGGAAAGGAGTGCGAACGGGACCCTTCAATACCACCACCTTTCACCTCTCCAGATCATGAAGGGGGCTGTGGCACAGACTTTGCCTATTTCTATTTTGTCTCATTCATCTTTTTCAGCTCATTTCTGGTCAGAATCTATCAACATTATTTTCTGAGTCTATAGGGGAGAATGGGGTAGACTGCATAGCTTTTTTACTCAAGTTCATTGTGAATACTCAGTGCAGGGAAATAATAAGGATAAAACAAATACAACCAGTTATATTTTGAGATGTCTGCTGTCAGCTGAAACAAGAAGAAAGCAATTCATCATAAAAGCCAACAATATTCATTGTAAACAATGCCAAGTTTAAAGCATAAGATAGATTAACACAAAAGCTAAACAGGTACAAGTTTTCTGCAGGTTCCACAAATTCAGATCTTAAAAGGTCTTAAATCAGAGCAGAAAGTCTTAAATTCATAAAGTCATGACATTAAATGTTACATAAATGTTTTTTTTCTTCTTCCTTCTACGGGGTGAACAGGAGTTACAGTAAAAGTTATTTCAATATTCTAGTGGTTGAGAGCATTATGCTTGTTTTGTGTGAAATGAATTAAAAAGTAATGGTTAGAAGTTAAGGCTAATACAGTTGTGTTGCTTAAATTGTCTTTACTTGGTTTTAAAAATGTCTTTAATTCTCTTAAATTTACCTGCAGAAGCCATGCAATAGTGCCTATGTTTATGCGTGTGTATATTAAGTGTTTGCGGAAAATGTTTCTCATGTGCATCTCTCGATTACAGATCAGTCCTTTCTAAATATATGTATAAATATAATATATGTCTAAATTAATTTACACAATGAAAACAATGCACATTTAGCCAGATTAACAGCTTACCCGCTGAAACATCTTAACCCACTCTCCCTTATACTTATTTAAGTTTAAATCATAGCCAAATAAAAACAATGTTTTTTCCTTCTTCCTTCTTCGGGGTGAACAGAAGTTACAGTAAAAGTTATTTCCATATTCTAGTGGTTGAGAGCATTATGCTTGTTTTGTGTGAAATGAATTAAAAAGTAATGGTTAGAAGTTAAGGCTAATACAGTTGTGTTGCTTAAATTGTCTTTACTTGGTTTTAAAAATGTCTTTAATTCTCTTAAATTTACCTGCAGAAGCCATGCAATAGTGCCTATGTTTATGCGTGTGTATATTAAGTGTTTGCGGAAAATGTTTCTCATGTGCATCTCTCGATTACAGATCAGTCCTTTCTAAATATATGTATAAATATAATATATGTCTAAATTAATTTACACAATGAAAACAATGCACATTTAGCCAGATTAACAGCTTACCCGCTGAAACATCTTAACCCACTCTCCCTTATACTTATTTAAGTTTAAATCATAGCCAAATAAAAACAATAATTATGTTAATAATATTACATAAATGAAATGTGTGCACTTGGTCTAAGTCCAGAATTTTGACACTTTTTTATTTTTCCTAAGATGCTGAATCTGTTTGTGGCTGTGATTATGGACAACTTTGAGTATTTGACGCGAGACTCATCCATTCTTGGACCTCACCATCTGGACGAGTTTGTGCGCATCTGGGGGGAATATGACCGAGCAGCATGGTAAACGCAACAGATCACCTACTGTACCTATTATAATGCAAATGATAATATAGTAATGATTGTTACTGTTCTTACTGTCATACGCATAGAGACACTTCACTAGGAACCGCTGCTCATTAACATCCACGTTTCCTTTCAATTTCATTTGCTTTATTCATGTATACAGATGCAACTTAATCCAGTAGTTTATATGTTAGTAGTACATTTAACAGTATTTACTGATATGGAAAGATCGTGGGCCTTCAACCTCCAAGTGCAAAGCCTGGGCAAGAAAACTTTTTTTTGATAGTCCACTTTAGGCATTTTACTAATTATAAGTAACTTTGCAACTAAATGTCTACTAACTCTCGTTAGAGTATTAGTAGACTATTAGGATAGGGTTAGTAGAGTAAGTTGACATGTATTTGCAAAGTGACAGTCAGAACAATGTGTGTTGGGGATCATCAAAATAAAGTGTTAGCAGAAATTAACAGACAGTCTAATACTAATACTCTAATGACTGCTAGTTGACATGGAGTTGCAAATAGTTAGAATGTAACACTTTAGATTAGGGAACACATATTCACTATTAATTAAGAGTTTGCCCTCAATAAACTCATAATTTGCTGCTTATTAATAGTTAGTAAGGTAGTTGTTAAGTTTAGATATGGTGTAGGAGTAAGGGATTTAAAATATGGCCATGCAGAATAATGCATTAATATGTGCTTTATAAGTACTAATAAACAGCCAACATGCTTGAAATATGCATGCTAATAAGCAGCTAGTTAATAGTGAGAATTGGTGCTTGTTACTAGAATGTCTAAAGTGGAGTATCAGGTAACACTTTCTATGAAGCCGGTATTTATAATACATTATAAGAGTATTCTTAAGACATTATAATGAATGCATAATGTATTCTAAAAAAAGATATCATGAGTAATCATAACAACAGTTTTAATGCATTATACTATTTTCTTATTTGTGGTTGTAGCTTTTAAAATTATAATTTATAATACACAATGAACACAATGCATCCACTTAACTCACAATGGATTATAATTCCCATAGTTATAATGTATTATAAGTCTCATATCTTGCCGTTGTTAACTTGTTACTTTACTTAAGACCACTTATAAATAATAACAGCAACAACAATGACAATAACAACAACAACAACAATAATAATAATAATAATATTTTTTCTTAAAAAGCCATAAGATCAGATATCTGATCAGATGTATGTGTAATATGGCATATTAATACTTATTGTAATATTTCACACAAGTAATATTTAACTATGTTTATTGCAATATCAGTAAGATATTGTATATGTTGTAAGATACTGTACAGATCTTAAATGAATAATCTCAAGATATGAAATTTATAATCTATTATAAATGTTAACATGGTGTTTATTTCATGTTATAAATAATCATTCTCATAAAAGTTATAACCCCAAATTAGTACGTTTTATGATGCATAATTGTTGTTATGAGATGAAACAACATATTATAGTTTATTTTTTATAATGCATTATGCATTCATTATAATGCCTTAAGAATACCCTTATAATTTGTTATAGAAAGCGTTACCGAGTATCAAAATAAAGTGTTAGCAAAACTTTGGCCTGCATGAAACGGTCATAAAGGATGAAGCCTCAAGCAGAGCCCATGGAGGAGTGGGACTATCATTATTTTTGGTAGATGTTCAGCTTTTACGGTTGTTGTTGTGTTTTCTCTGATTGACAGACTACACTGATGGCCTAATATTTTTTGTGCTTGAATCAAATTGAATAGTTGTTTGAACCAAAACATGCACAGAACATTTGGCTACATTGCTCACCGCTGCAGACACGGATGGATGTTTTCAGTTTTATGGTGGTGAAATTGCTGAAATCTTCTGACAGGGCCTTGGATTCCTGTGTGCTGCCAGAACAAAAACCGGCCTGGATTGGATTCAGGACTTGCTATGCGCTGTTCAATTAGGCTGGCTTCAAACGACAATTAGTGCACATCAGAATGGCGATATTTAGAAAGTCTAAAATTCTTCTAGGCTATTGGAAGATGATCTTGCGGTTATCGCTGCATTCTCCAAGGCTGGAACTGAGATGGAATTTAGTGTAGTGTTTAGAAGTCAGTGGATGACTGTGAGCAAATAGGTGTCCCTTGTAAGTAAAGCTGAAGGCCACATCCTTCTGTTTACAGGCTTTCAAGGGAAGGATGATGTCATGTCAGATGAAAAGGCGCATTAAGGAAGACAGGGCCTCGATTGTTCAAAGAAAGGTGGGTTTGTACGTGCCTACCCTAACATCCTTCTGTGTGGTGTTAGTATGTACAAAACAACGTGCACTCATTTTAGGGCAGCGACTATTTTTATATTTTTTCTTATAATCAATTATTCTGTTGATAATTGATTTGATTAAATGGATAAATTATTATTGGGGGGGGGGTTGTACTAGATTTTATTTTGCCTTAAGTTATATTCCAAGTGCAAACTGGAGGCTATTAAACTATAAATCTATGAATTTAGACTATGCTTGTGCATTATGTGCCAAAATGGAAGGTAAAATAAAGTCTCTGGTAAGAGGTAGAACATTATGCAGGAATATGCCACTGATCTCTATATGACTGGATTGCTGATGGAAATCTAAACTACCAGCAGGAACAAATAACAGATGCAACACTCTTCACTCTCAATTAATTTAAGCACTTCAAGCGTTCTCAGGCTGATATATTGTGTAAATGTGAACACCCCAAATGATACTCAGACCACCCTAAACCACAAACCATTACTAATACTTTATTGCAACATAAATGCATTAATCTGTTTTGAGAATCAACACTTTCTGACATTTGCATTATGTATGTTGAGTAGCCTTGTCTGTCAGCTGATATGATATTTACTACTGTAATGAAGATAGTTTGAAAAATTCCTAGTCTAATTAAATAGCCAATTACATGTATAATACAGTTAGAAGGAATTCAGATGATTTCCTTGTAACCGTAGTATGTGTGTGGACACCAATGCGGTAGTGTAGTGGCTTTAACGTTAGCTATTTATAGTCCTGTTTCCGTTATTGTTCTTGTAAAAACAAACAAACAATAGAATTTAAATTAAATGTAAACGATTCTAAACCTAAATGTAACATTCAACAAAAATATTTTACTAAATGTAAAAATTATTTAGCTGCCTTTCTCTGGTTGACTTAAAAAATCTCATTGAGTTCATTAGTTAATCAAGTCCTGAAGCTACAGGGAAAGTGCTCTGAATAGGGTTTATTTTCACGAGTGGCTTGGGTTCTATGGAGATTTTTGGTGAAAGGTTGTAATCCAGTGATAGGGTAGAAAAATGATTTATTGATTTTGACTGAGATTTTGCTATACTTACATATTTTGGATAATATGTATAGTATTTTGTTTAATGTACAGCTATGTACAATGTATGATGTGCTTTGTTGAAAAGTCTTTTTTAATGCTATTCATTTTTATTGTGTATACAAACATTAATGTTTCTGTAAACATACCTCTCATATTACATTTTCATAATTATCATATTAATTTCCATGAACTCATTAAACTTCATATTTAGCATCAGATGGGTTTTTTTCAGCAGGTGGAACTGAAGAACTTTTTGGCATCAAGAACATCAAGGATAAAGCCAAATTTAGACAGCCAGATATCAGCATGTAGTGCAAAAATAGCTTTTCTCCTAGCCAGTGGCCCAAACAACAAAGCAAAAACTTGAAACCGAGTAGCCAACTAGAGGTCTGTACGGAATCAATTTATTTTTTTTAGCAAAAAACAATGACATATTTTGTCCTGCAACTTCCACATTTTGTCCCACTCCTGCCCACAAAAGACCAGAGGCAGAAATCTATGCAGATTCAGTCTATTTTACCAGAATGTATGTCTCCCTCCTGTGACAGAATAATTTTTCCAATTCCCCTAGGCACACATCGCTTTACCTTGCTGCAGCAGGCAAATGAAAAGTGCTTTCCCTCGCTGCTGTATACAATTGCTGAACATTGAGCATTTCCAGCCCTGTGCATGTAAACCATTTATTTTATTTTATTTTAAATGGAAACCTCTGCAGAGTTACTATCCAGCAGAGTTTAACTCCAACTTTTTCACACCTGAACCACCTCAGGATTAATTGAAAATTACAGGCAAGTGTGTTGGTGCAGGTTGAAACAGATCTCTGCAGGAAAGTAACTCTCCAGAAGAAGAGTTGGCACAGTTGTGCTGTTTTGTTCCTGAATTAATTTGTGTTTTTGAGCAAATCTGTTGAATGAATGACTCAATGACTTAATCATAAAGAGTCACTTTCATTCTGGAGAAATGAATAATCACCTTTTTGTAACTTGTTTTGAATTTACTTTTGTTTTATGTACATTCAGAAGTTTAGAGGAAACAATGTTTGTTCTGTACAGAGAAATAATGTTTTGACTGCATTTCTTTAGAAGTGTGGTATGCAAAAATAGCATTAATTCTTATCTATTCTCCATCATTCATATGAGAATCACAAATAATTGAATACCTCTGTTTTCTTTTCCTCGCCAGTGGCCGTATTCACTACACTGCCATGTATGAGATGCTAACCCACATGTCTCCACCTCTTGGATTGGGAAAGAAGTGTCCTGCCAAAATTGCCTACAAGGTAGAAAAGTTTTATCTTGGCAAATGTATTTCATTGTTTAGGACTTGCAACTGCTACTGAAATACCAAGAAAAAGAATCATATGTAAGAATGCATATTTCAAAAATGTTAGAACCTATAATGCTTTTAAAACATGAGCATTTGATATCATTAATATTTGCAACCATGCTGTGCTGCTATTGGCAGAGACTGGTGCTGATGAATATGCCAGTTGATGAGGACATGACGGTTCAGTTCACATCCACACTGATGTCTCTGATCCGCACTGCACTGGAGATAAAAATCGCTAGAGGTCAGAATTGTAAATCTGTACTTTAAAAGAATAGTAGTACAATGAGAATTATAGCATAATTTACTAAGAATCATACTGTTCCACACCTGTATGGGCATGTCTCAATCAGCTCTCAATCAGTATATTGTGTACATAAATGTGGGAGCTGGTAAGGACCCTGGCTTAGTACACATTGGGACACTAATGATTTTCTGGCGACACCTCTGCAACAAGGGTCCACATCATTACCATCTATTATTTGTAAACAAACAAGCTTGTTTCACATGATCTCTCACAGCTTCACCGTATCTTAGATCAGTGGTTCTCAAACCTGTCTTGGGAACCCCCAACCACCGCACATTTTGTATGTCTTGAATCAGGTGTGTTAAATGAGGGAGACATACAAAATATGCAGT